AATTAAAAGAGCTAGTGTGTGATAGAAGAGCAACCTTCCCACAATTGCTCCACAATGGTACCAGAAGAGCGAAAATTGGTTTTACTCAGGGCTTAAAAATTTTATCTATTCTCAAGCTCAAAACTACAATATCAAAACAAATAAACACCTTAAAAGATTATTTTAGGTTACAGGATAGAAGTGTTAAAAGCAAAGTTGGTGGTTAATTCCAAAAATTAAGCCTTGCAAAAAATTAATGTAATATTAATGACAAGTATACTTGTGACTAGAAAGAATGGGTCTGGATGATCTCTCAAGGAATCTTTTTCTGGATTTTCCACACTTGTGCCTCCTTCCCTATTTGAAGAGACACAAGCTTAACTGGCTCTTTGCTATTTTCTCTAGATTTTTGACACACAAACAAGTTAACCTTGTTAACGTGCCTTTCCCCACAGTTCCAAAATTTCTGTCATAAGAATCAAGTGACTAGGCAATGAATATAGATTTCTTTCTGTGGTAGTTCTGGAAGCAACAAGTGATTGACTATTGAAAAGAGCGTTAAAGCCTTAGATTGCTGAATCTTAATGCTTATAGTTAATAAAATATCAGACATCAATTTGATCTCACCAATAGGGCAAATTTAAGCAACATTATTAATTGTAGGTTATCTGAGCAAAAGGGGCTTTCATATCTCAAAAAAGAAAAAAAAAAGAAAATCAAAGTACACAAAGTGATCAACTTCATACCATCATCAGCAAACATGTGCCAGCATTTGAAGAGAGCTAGGACTAAAAGGACTTCGGTTTTGGTCCAGGCTATGCCTCTTATTAACCATGTGATCTTGCAAGTAATCCAACCTCAGATTCTTCACCTATAAAACAATGAATCTGCCACCACCTACCCTACTTACTTCACAGGGTTTCTGTGAGGATCCAATTAGATAACCTATTTGGAAAACTATGAAGACCTGAAAAAAAAAAAATATATGTATATATATGGAACCACCATCATGCTAATCACCATGTAAAAAGAAATCACTAGTCCACAATTTCTTCCATTCTACCCACTTCATAATCAAAATCACATAACTGTACCAAAAGGAACTATATTGTTATGTGGTTCATTTTTATTACCTAAATTCAGTCTGTTCTCCAAAAGCCTATATAACCACATGTAAAGATGAACTAGCAGAAGAATATACATGGCAAAGTAGGTAGAGAATTAAGTCATTGAAATCTTTTCTAAAGATTGCCTGCCCCAAACTCAAAGACTCCTGATGGGTCCTTTGAAATCTTCACTTTCCTCTGGATTTCAGATGCTCAATTAAAGCACTCTTTTCAGCATTTAATTAAGACACAGGAATAGTTTTTCTCCCACAATTCTGAGTTTTGTGACCTTCTAGTAAACATACCATAACAGTTTTTACTGGATCATTACAATTGGGCTCTATAATACTGCTCTCTAGTGGCTTTCCCATGAGTGAGAAGCAATTTCCTGCATCTTTACTGGGCTGTAGAAAGCTGTATATGGTTCCCAAATAATAGAGAATTCTTCTTCTACTGTCACAGTTCTTGATAGTATGGTTTCTATGCTATGTAAGCCAGGTTCTTGGCTGCCACTGTATGAAGGTGTGTGAATCTAGACAGGTCACTTATAGTGACTTGGGACTCAGTTTCCACATCTATTAAGAATGAGAACTAGATCATCTCCAAGGATCTGTCTGATTGAAATAGTGTATGATTCTCTTCAGATCACATTTATCAATCCTGCAACTAAGAGACCCCAAAGAACAATCCCATCATAGCTGCAGCTTCGAAATATGCAAAACATATCTCATCACTCCCCCAGCCCCCAAACAATAGTCACAGCTACTGCAGAACGAATAAAGAATGTTTTAACAGTGCACGGTGGTTTTTTTTGGGGGGGGGGGCATCTCCCAGTGAAAACTACCTAGTTACACAACAGTTAAGACTGCAGTTTTCAGCGTCATTAGATTCCAAAAAGAAACTGAATCAGAAAGATAACAGGAAGACACATGCAAGAAAATAAACATGAGTGTTCATTTCCAGAAACAAGTCCAATTTCACACCAGGTTATCTCCTGTGGCTAGGGATAATCTGAGGAGTCCAAGCCTAATCTCTGTCACTTCTAATCTTAGAATACCAAAAAAGTCAGCAAACCTTTACAGATCCCTCAGTTTCAATCAACTCTGGGAGTCTTGAATAAGAGGCCTGTATGAGGTGTGGTGGGCATGGGGGGTAGTGAGGGAAGTGTGCTCACAGAGGGCCTCCCTTCCAGGTAAGACTTGATCTTAATGGTTAATTAAAATAACGTTCGAAAACCAAAATACAATAATGAATGATTTGCTCAAAAACGAAATACAAGGAACTCAGCTAGGAACATGACTGGATACGCAGATGAATTCAGGGAATTTAAAATTCCTTAATGCTCTGGCTCTGGTTGAAGTGGGCACAGGGAGGCTGCCATCCCTCAACTGCGTTCTCCACACTACTCCTTGTCTGGTCAGTTTGAAAATATAATATTAAGAAAAATGTACCCAAATATTAATGCTTAAGGAAATATGCTGCCTCACGAGTCTCCTAATGATTTAGGAATTCAGTGGCTGACTGGCCATCCAGCTTTAGTAATCAATGAAGACTTATCAGGGATTAGTTTTGAGCAGGGTATTGAAAGAAAGTAACAAGTCTACTTTAGTTACCTGGGAATATATACTTTTAAATATAACATAACGGATGGGAGAAGCATGCTCGGAAACAAGGACAAGGATCACCATTAGCAAGCATGCAGAAAAACATCAAGTCACCAGTTAACAGCAGTCTAGCAGCCCTTCTTCATCCTGTGGTTTCCACTGTCTCAGGCATTACATTCATGCTCAACCAACTACAAAGTTTATTTCTGTTACAATGACCACTACTGTTTTATCTAAAACACTATACGCTATAGAAATGGGATAAAACAAAACAGCTTCTTTAAAGTGAAAAAGGGAAAGCTTGGGGGGTGTCTCCCAGACATCAATTTCTACTGTGAAACACCACCACCCAATGCAAATGATCATTCCCTTCTTTTCAAGCTCTCTGCTTATGTTACCTTCAACTCTACCGTGCATCTGAGAAGCATAAATATGTACTATAAGCTGAGATGATATACATTGTAATGATTTCCATTATTTCTCAAGGACAAACTGCTTTGAAATGTGATTTTAGGTTACTTGCACTTATGTAAGAACACAAAGCTCTTACATGTCTGGGTTTCTAGTACAGGCAGAAGGTTAAGGCAGAAAGAGTATTAAAAGCCTCTATCCTAGAACCACCCTCCCAAACCAAAACTGTTTCCAGTCCGATACGTTTAAATAAAAAGGTGTTACCCCAGAAAATATAAAATTATCCAAACCTTTCAAATATCATGATACTTCTGATAGATTCTACAGTAACACCTATAATCATAGTTAAAGGCTTAGAATGTAAAGAACTTACACATTTTTATGCCCCTCCCCCAAATTTAAAATAACATATAAACCCTACTTTTGCTAGTATACGGTGAACGTGCATTTGCCTAAAAAAGAAACTGCAGTTAACAGCATTGCTTAAGAAAAGTTATTTGAAGAGAAAATATAAAGAAACCCCAACCCAAGTAAAAGGGACATCTCTTTCCCACTAGTGTTGCCGGTAACTTCTAAAGCCCTAAGTGGTATAATTTATCTTTTCACATACAGGATAATAATGCTTCCAGTTGTTAACACAAATTATGTCAAATATAACGAAGGGGAAAAAAATCATCAGCTATACAAGGTCTTCCAATACATCACATAGATAACATGAAAGTCAATCTCAGCTTCACATAACTTGGTCAAACCTGGTAGAAACCAAGAGGGTGTGGATGTACCAGCGACAGTTACCACGGACTAGGCTAAATGATAATAATCCACAAATTAAAGGTACGGTATAAGGAACACGGCACACCTCTCGATATTACACACCTCTATTTTCTTCAATGCGTGGATTGAAAGAAAATAATTTATCCCCCTCCATGCGGTTTCTCCTTTACAATATAAATTATTTCCAAGCCTGGCTGGCTAGTGACATAAAACATTTTCCCCAAGAGAAACTTATAGAAAGATACAGAAGCCTAGGGCTTTCTAGGCTTTTTTAATTAAGCCCGTGCCTCGTCTTACACTTTCCTCTAGGTTACCTCTCCGGAGGGTGTGAAAATATCAACAGACGGTCCCCCAGCCCCACCCTCCCCGTAGTGCCTCGCACTGACTAGGTTCATCCTGCTCCTCCCCTTTCAGCCTCATCACCTTTAAGAAGCTTATCGAATACTTCTCCCCATTTATACCCGCACCCTTATCCATGCCTGAGCACAAGCTCCGCATCCTTCTTCCAAGGAAGGGACTAGCAAAAAAGAAAGAGGCATGCTCGAGAAACGACAGACGAAGAAACGTGACAGCCAGACACTTTAAACCAGCGGGGTTGGCCTTTCTCCCCCACCTCAGCCTGGAACCAGCAGTCGGTTCCCTAAATACTGAAATCTCTGGTCTTCACGCTCTCCCCACCCCCGCAGACATGAGGCCGGAAAATGAAAAGGCCGGGGTGAGACGCAAGTCTGGGTCAACCCTAACGGAGTCCGCTGCCCCCACCCCCCGGGCTGGCGTCCCCGGGGAGGATGGAGATCGCGGGAGGAGCGAGGGCTCCCGGCCCGGGACCCGCCAGCGCGCCCGCCCGAAACCCCCAGAGACGCAGCCCGCTACACCCGGGCCCTTCCCCGCCGGCCTCCCCCGGCCCAGCCCCCCGAAGGGCCCCTCCCCGCCCCGGCACTGCAGCGGCACCCGGGGCGGACCCCAAGCTGGCCTCACTCGCACACACGCCACACACAAAAGCGCCGCCGCCGCCTTCCCGCCCCCACTGCGCGGCGGAGTAATCAATGAGGCAGCCGGCGCCCGCGTCCCTTCCGTGCACGCCCGAATGCGGGGCCCGGGCGGCAGGGGCGGCGGCGAGGCTTACCATCGCTCCGCTTGATCTCCACGTAAATCCCGATCTGGATCTTGCCGAAGTTGGCCGTTGCCATCACCTCATCTGGAGCAGCGGCGGCTGGCCGAGGGAGGGGGACGCGAGGGCGGAAAAGGCGGGGAGGGGACGGGGTAGGTGTGGGAGGGGGAGCGGTTGCCCGCGGCCGCGCCGGCCCGGGCGACAGCGTGAACGCGAGCCGG